AAAGTGCCAGAACCTCTCCTCATAGTCTGCTTCTTCCTTTGTTCCCCCACTGAGGCTTCTCCACCCCACATCCCCAGTCCTGCTCTCCCCTGACATTACCAAAGCTTGTTTGAGGCTTTACCTCCCCCTCCCGGAGGGCCCATTCCCCACTGGGTGCAATTACTGCCTGTGCCTACCTGAGCCCACATGGACCTCTTCCACCTTGACTTCTCAACCCCTCTCCAGGCACGTACTTCGTGCTGCCTTCAGGACATTTCCACATCAAACCAAACATGTTAGAAGAAGCCCTTGCTTTTCTACAAAACCCTCCCTCCCCTGACTCACTTTTCAGGACTTCTATGGACATCACAAATTGTCTAAGTCCCTCAGCTTTACAACCTACAGGTCCACCTCAGTCACCTTTTCCCTGCATCTCAGTGCCACCTGCTCCCAAGCCCTGCCCACTGTTCCTCAGAAATGACCATCCTCCTGCCCCTCCCTAGCAAGGCTGTGGGAGAGTGGATCTGGATTTTAGCTCCAGCCTAAAAATACCTGAGGAGAGGGCTTCTGACCTCCACCCCCTGTATTTAGGGACCCAGTAACCCCCTTCCCTATACCTGTGTCTGGAGAGTTTAAAATAGGAGGATCAAAGCTGTACACTTAATGATTTATACACTTTTTTGTGTGTTTATTTGTATATATACATTGGGCTTCATTGACAGGTTTTGTAAGAAGAAAAAAAGTATTTAAAATAGGAGTTTAACAGAGACTCCAAGAAGGAACTAGTGGTTACCACAGGTGAGGGGTATGGGAGGGTGGGTGGGGGAGGAGGGAGAAGGGGATTGAGGGGTATTATGTTTAGCAGACCTGGTGTGGGGGATCACGGGGAGAACAGTGTAGCACAGAGAAGGGACATAGTGGATCTGTGGCATCTTGCTGCACTGATAGACAGTGACTGCATTGGGGTATAGGTGGGGACTTGATAATATGGGTAAATGTAGTAACCATGTTGTTTTTCATGTGAAACCTTCATAAGAGTGTATATCAATTTTTAAAAAAAGGAGTGTAAGAAAAAAATGTAAGCCATTACGTATCACCAGATCTAGAACAAACTCTTCTTGCCCTCCGTCTAGGTCAGGTGCCTTTTCCATGGTCCTGTTAGGCTCCTGTCCTGCCCAGCTTATATGCTGACATGTCTGTCTCACCCAAGAGAGCTGTCCTGTCCAATACTAGCCACTAGACCTGTGGTTATTTAAATTTAATTAAAAATTCTTTCCTCAATTTTACTAGCTTCCTTTCAAGTGCTCAAGGATCACATGGGGCTAGTGGTGACCACACAGGATGGCACAGATATTGAACATTTTCACCTCACAGAAAGTTCTAGTTCAGCATAGCTCTGCACAAAACTGTAAGTTCCAGGAAGTCAGAGATGGAGTCCTTCTGGTCCTGCACTGTATCCCTGGCATGCAGCATGCTCTCAGGCCCAGCTCAGAAGCTAAATAATATTAACGGATTGAGTAAATGTGCACACTGCCACACTCAGCACAAAGCCCAGCACCAGTACCCACCTCTTCTTCACTCTCCCTTCCTTCAGACCATGGCTTCTAGCTGACCTTTGACTTGGCCCTGACCCAGAGCTCATAGTCTCCTTCCTCCCTCCAAATCATCTCTGGTCCATGGTTGGCTCAGAGTCCTAGGGGCATTGTAAATGTGTGTGTGCACACATGTGTGTGTGTGTATGTGTGTTGGCAGTGGTTGCAGAGAAAGGACTGGCAGGGTAAGAGGTGGTCAGAGTGATGAGACACCAGGGTTCTAGGCCTCAAGAAGCTTGAGTGCAAACCTCGATGCAATGACCAAGAGCACCTGTGCAGTGGGCAGCCACCAGGCTTTGGTTTGAATTCCGGCTTTGTTTCCTCCCAGCTGTATAATCTTGAATAAGCAACTTCACATCTGTGGATCCACTGTATGCATTATTTTCTCATTGTAAAAGATGGATAACAATACCTATTTCACATAGGTAGGGAGTACATTAAATAAGGTGTCGGGGGTTCAGTCAGTACTCAGTTATTGCTTGTTCCTTTCTCTACATAGAGGGCAGTAAAATCCCTTCCTTAAACATCATTCAGATGATGGCCCTGAGACACCTGCCTGGTTCCCACTTACCCTACACAACAGGCCAAATATTAACTCCTGAGAGCTCCTCTGTCTTAAAGCAAGAGATGTGCCTTGGTTCCGTTGCTCTTAGCTCTAAAGGCACCTGGCTCAGCTTCTGTCTGCCAGCCAGCCGGGTCCATGTGGCTTTCTCTCTCCCACTTTCATGTCACACGACATGCCTGAGATGCCCTTCCTGCCCTCTCTTTCAAAAGTCAGGCCCCACCTTCCTGGAAGCAGATTTCCTCATAAGACTCACTTCCTCTCTTAAGCCTACTTGACTCAACCCTCCCAGTTTCAAGATTACTAATCACTAAAAAATAGTTCACGCCTACTTCAACCTTCATCCACCCACTTTCCTCCTCCCTGAATGACTATGATGTAAGTCTGTACCTGGCAAATCTGTGTTCCCAGGTATCTGGTTGTACACGTGAATGTGTCTAGAGCAGGAAGCAAGACCAGATGGCAACCAAAAATAAAAAGCACTTGGTGAGGTGGGAGGGTTCGGCCAGTCCAGACATAGGTCCCATTTGGCCACTTACTACATGTGTGGCCCTTAGCAAGTTACTTAATCTTTCTGAGACTCAACTTCCCTTGTATATTTGTCACAAAGATTAGAAATATTATTATTATGGTTTACTGAGCCCTTACTCAGTATAGGCACTGTTCTAAGCACTTTACACAGACTATTTAATCTTCACTTTGACCTAACAGGTAGGTAATAATATTTTTCCTATGCTATGGTTGAATAAACACACAGAGAGGCAACTCAGCACAGAGGTTAAGTGCCTTGCTCCAGATAACACAGCGAATGAGTGGCAAAGCCAGAATCCACATCGAGGCAGTCAGACTCCAGAGTCCATGTTCTTAACCACTCTACTTACTGTCCCCATGAGTAACCCTGTATGCAGGCAAAGGTCCTGTCACAGTGCCTGCCACAAAGGTAACAAGTGCTGTGACTCCTTCCTCACTGGGACTGTAAGTCCAGGAAAAGTATCTCTTTTCCTCTGTAATTTTTTACAGGACTAGGAAAGGACAGAATACATTGTGAGCACTTGACATAAACACATTTCCAGGACCAGAGAAAGATATGGCAGAAATACAAAGAATTTAAAACCATACTTTCTTACCCAAATGTGAGTTATAAACACTCACAGGCCACATGGAAACACATGTCTCACAAACACATCATGTATGTTCACTCACACTGCATGCTCACTGGCCACCTTGAACCCCGTGAAGGCTCACCAGGACACCTTCCTGAGCTAGCCCAGGCCACACAGATATTTGTCATCCGTCAGTGTTACCAGCACTCATTCTGAGGCCCGGCCAAGCCAGCACTCATTATGTGGTGGTTTGTCCATTAATTCAAACAACTACCGGCTAACACCTAAGAACCAGGGCCAGGTATTGAAGACCAAAAAGTGTTGTCCCTGAACTCCCAGAACTTTCAATCTGATGGGAGATCCTGGCACATAAACCAAGATTTGCAGTAGGACAGGGCAATAAGAACCACCTTTGACAGCATATACGAAAGTCTTTTAAACCAGATTGGGGCGTTCTGGAGAACTTTCTGCACATGATGCTTAAGTCTTAAAGTCGAACAGGAGTTACCCGAGCAAAGGAGGGCTGTAAAAGAAGAAGAGTCTAAATGAGGAAATGTTTGGGAAACTAGTTTTATAATGAAGTTAATGGTTTTTAACAGGGACAAGCAGGACATGAGGCCAGAGGGTAGGCAGGGCCCAAGTGCCAAAGGCATGATGTGCTAAGTTGAGAGATTCAAAGTCTGTTCTGAAAAGCTGATAGGAGCCACAGAAGGCTTTTAGACAGAGATGTGACATGAACGAGTCTTCATTTTAGAAAGATTTATCCAGCAACACAGAGGTAAACTAATAGAGGGGACAGGGTGGACATGGGGGGACATTGAAGATGTTCAACAATTGATGAAAGAAATGAGCTTAAAGTCTTAATGTAGTGGAAATGGGAGAGTATTTAAGAGATATTAAGGATAAGTGGGGCGGGAATAGTGCCATTCACTACAATAGGAAACATAAAGGCTGACATTTAGACTGGAAGAGACAATGATACCTTTTTTGGAGTTTGAGGTGTCTCTGGGACGCCCAGGCAATATAAAATAGGCTTTTGAACATGTGNTATACTCATTATTAAGGCTTGTGAGACATCTAGACTGGAGATACAAGTTTGACTGTCATCAGCTTACAGGCAGTAGTGATTAAAAACACTGGTGTGGATGAAGTCACCCAGAGAAAGCATGGGGCCAGAAAGTCTGCAGGCCCGTGACAGAACTCTGGGGAGCTCCACCTCCAAGTAGTAGAAAGCTTGGATTTGTGTGTGAAGTGAGAAGGGAGTTAGGAAGGGGCCTTGGAGATCACCAACAGTTAGGGGAGGAGAAGGGGAACAGATGAGAAGAGAGGGGCAAAGGTGAAGAAGCCAGGAGAGGATGTCAAACCGAAGGAAGTCAGTAGTATCAAACACTGCAGAGGTCAATGAAGATATGGACAGGAAACTCCATGCCCGTTTAATGTGGCAACTAGGAGGTGGCCCGTGAGGCTAGAATGAGGTCAGTTGGGTGTTAACGGTATGGTTTTTCGGCTGTTGGAGAAACTTCCTAAGCCCACTGCAGTTCGAAAGGCAACGCGAAATTGCAGACCCAGGAGCTTCCGCGCCCCAAAGTCGCGCAAGCGCGCTCATACGCACCAGGTCTAAGTGGGACTCCGCGTTTCCAACAGCGCGCGGAGTCCCAGCGCACGCGCCTCCCGAGCCCGCCTACTTCGCCGCGGGGCCACTCCCCAAGCCTGCAGAGGGCGCTGCGCCTCGTAGAGCCCGGGCGCTGTGCCGCTCTAGCCAGCGCCCAGCCTCAGTGGCGGGCGCCGCAGCTCCGCTTCTCCCAGGCCTCCGCCCGGCGCAGGTAGATCGGCCCGTGGGGGGCGGGAATACTTGAGAGCTGTGGTGCAGGCTGGTAGCTGCAGCCTCCTGGAGCGGAGTGGTCCCCAACGCCCAAGTGCCCCGGTCGGGTCCGGGCCCGGTGAACCCGGCTGCGGGCAGGGCCCCACAGGTACAAGTCCCAGTCCTAGTGGGCTCCTCCTCCTGGACGCGCAATGCCTCTCCCTGGACTCCTATACACCGCGGGGGTCTCCACCCAGGTTCACGTGCGGCTTCCGGGAACAGCTGGGGGCGGTGCCTGTAGGGGCGGGGCTCCCTTGATTGACACTTCTTTCCCCAGGTTTCACGGGCTACCACCGGACCCCTTCCTGAGCCGGCAGCATGGTGAGAACCCTGGGCCAAGACCCTCACCTCCGCATGCCCATGCCCCACTGGCCTTGCCCTGGTTGCCTTATATAAACCTGGGGCTCCGCAACAGGGGGTCAGTAGGTCTGCCCATGCAAGAGGGCCTGCATCCTTCCAACCCACGCATCCCTGTAGCACGGGCGCCTGAAGGTGAAGACATCGGAGGAACAGGCGGAGGCCAAAAGACTAGAGCGGGAGCAGAAGCTGAAGCTATACCAGTCAGCCACCCAGACTGTCTTCCAGAAGGTGGGGCCCTCAGAGGTAGCCCCTTCTCCAGGTGGCCCTTTCAGTATAGTACAGAGGCCAAAATCTGGATCCAAACCTGGGTTCTGTCACTAGCGGTGTGACTTTGAGTAAGTTACTGAATCTCTTTGAGCCTCAGTCTGTTCATCTGTAAAATGGAGCTAATAACACTTACTGGGTAAGGCTTCACTTACTGTGAGATTTCACTTACTGTGAAAATTAAATGACAGAATACATGTAAACCCATAAAGCACTCTGCATAGTATTTATCATATCGTATGGGGCTCACAGAATATTCAGTGGTTCTGTTTATGTTATTTAGCTCTATAATGGGAGAAAGATACTATCTCTGACCTCATACTCTTCTTCTCAGCGCCAGGCTGGTGAGCTGGATGAGTCAGTACTGGAACTGACAAGCCAGATTCTGGGAGCCAATCCTGACTTTGCCACCCTTTGGAACTGTAGACGAGAGGTGCTCCAGCAGCTGGAGGCCCAGAAGTGCGTAGGGGTTCAGGGCCCCAGGAAGATGGTCCTGGCCTTGGCCCTGCCGTGCCTGGGTCAAGGGGTGGAGGAGGAATGGGGCAGCCAGGGACATAGGCTGAGGGCAATGGAAGGTTAGGTGCAGAGAGTCAGGGGTGAGCTGAAGTTGGGTGTTGGAGGGCCCTGACCTCAGTTTCCCCCGGGTGCAGGTCCCCTGAGGAGTTGGCCACTCTGGTGAAGACAGAACTAGGCTTTCTGGAGAGTTGCCTGCGGGTGAACCCCAAGTCCTACGGTACCTGGCATCACCGCTGCTGGTTGCTGGGCCGCCTGCCAGAACCCAACTGGGCCCAAGAGCTGGAGTTGTGTGCCCGCTTCCTTGAAGTTGATGAGCGGAACTGTACGTGCCTGCAGATTCTGTCCCCACAGCCTTCACCTGTCCCCCATGCTGGTACTTGGGCCTCAGTAAGGCCTAGTGTGGGGAGGGATGGCCAGGACAGGCCCACTGAGCTAATGGCACAAGGGATGACAGAGTCAACTGCATCCTCTGTGGAGTGTATGGAGGTGTTTCTACAGGAACTCCTGGGTACCAGCCAGGGACCTCCTCTTGCCCTACCTCTGAGATGTGCTCTCACCCCTCCCCCACAGTTCACTGCTGGGATTACCGGCGGTTCGTGGCTGCACAGGCAGCTGTGCCTCCTGCAGAGGAGCTAGCCTTCACTGACAGCCTCATCACCCGCAACTTCTCCAACTACTCCTCTTGGCATTACCGCTCCTGCCTCTTGCCCCAGTTGCACCCCCAGCCAGAGTCTGGACCACAGGGACGCCTCCCTGAGGATGTGCTACTCAAAGGTAAGCAGGGTCAGGGGGTTCTGGGGAGGACTCTATAGGGCTGTCCTTCTAGCCCTGAATCTGTTCCTGAACCTGCCACTTGGGTTTATTGAGCACCTACTTTGCGCTTGGCTTCAGGGGTGCACAAGATCCAGCCCCTGGCTACATAGAACTCAATGAAACTGATACATGCAGCCACTGAGCAAGGCCAGTAGAAAGTGACCGTCGGGCTGGAAGTACTGCAAGGGGAGGGCGGGATGTTGAGGTAGCCAGAAGCCCACCAATGCCCGGACCACAGCTCCATGCCTCCTTGCTCCCTGCAGAGCTGGAGCTAGTGCAGAATGCCTTCTTCACTGACCCAAATGATCAGAGTGCCTGGTTCTACCATCGCTGGCTCTTGGGACGAGGTGAGCAGTGAGGGAACAGGCTGGGTGTTTAGAGCTTAAAAGGAATAGAAGAGAATTTACGGAGATCTGAGGCTGTGTCTCCCACAGCTGACCCTCAAGATGCCCTGCGCTGTCTGCACGTGAGCCGGGACGAGGCCTGTCTGACTGTCTCCTTCTCTCGGCCGCTCCTAGTGAGTCCTGCGGCTTTTGCCAGAGAGCGTTGTGTACTATAGGCCTGGTGCTGTTGGGGCTGATGGGTCTCCCTTTGTCCCCTGTGCCAGGTGGGCTTTGGGACGGAGACCTTGCTGCTTATGGTTGATGAGTCACCCCTGGCTGTGCAGTGGAGGACACCAGATGGCAGGAACTGGCCCAGCCCTGTCTGGGTATCCCAGGATTTGGGGGACAGACTGGAGGGATGGGGTGGGATAGTCAGAAAAGTGAGGCTTACGCACTTCCTTGACTCCATGCTCCCAGCTCTGTGACCTGCCTGCCACCTCCCTCAACGACCAATTGCCCCAGCATTCATTTTGTGTCATTTGGATGGCAGGCAATACCCAGAAGGAATGTGTGCTTTTAAAAGGTGATGTGACCTGCAGCCTCCACCCCTTGCAGCAGCCCTCCTACCCCTCTCCTCCTCTCATGGGTGTCCCCTCCTACTACCTACTCTTTCTGTCAGGCTGCCAGGAGGGCTGGAGCCGGGACTTGGCCGTGGATGAGCAGCTCTTCAGGTGATGACAGAGAAGCACACAGATAAAGGGAGGGGCTCTGGACTCTGGGCATCAGGCAGCTGGGGTCAGAGGCTGGGGGTTTGGGCAGATGACCAGTACCCCAGGTAGGCCACATCCCCTCCTCGACTCTGCCCCTGCAGGTGTGAGCTGTCGGTGGAGAAGTCCACAGTGCTGCAGTCTGAGCTTGAATCCTGTAAGGAGCTGCAGGAGCTGGAGCCTGAGAATAAATGTGAGGCCCCATTCCATGAAGTCTTGCTCTTCTAAGGAGGCCCCTTTCTGGAGGGCTCCTTGGCAAGAGCAAAAAGGGTCTTGAGATGGGAGCAGAGGATCCAGGAGAAACTTCTTTTTCCCACCCTGTCCCCAGGGTGCCTGCTCACCATTATCCTGCTGATGTGGGCGCTGGATCCCCTACTGTATGAGAAGGAGACACTGCAGTACTTCCAGACCCTCAAGGCAAGTTGGACCTTAGGAATGGGCAAGGGAGAGGCCCAGTGGGAAGGAAGAAGGCAACTGACATGCATTTCTTGTTGGCCTGTCCGCTGCCAGGCTGTGGACCCAATGCGTGCAGCATACTTGGATGACCTCCGCAGCAAGTTCTTGCTGGAGAACAGCATGCTCAAGATGGAGTATGCCGAGGTGCGCGTGCTGCACCTGGGTCACAAGGTATGGACTGGCGTGTGCCCCTTGCCCTGGGCCTGCTCCCCACCGGCCCTCCCTCCTTCCTCACAACCTGGCCAGCTTTTCCATCCACCCGTGGGCTGCAGCAGAGGCACTCTCTGTCTGGCCTCCCCCTGCCCCTGGCTTTGCCTTCCGTCTCCGGTGCCTTTCTGGACATTCTTCCTAACCAAGACTGCATCTGTCTTCCTGCAAGCCCACTCCTCTTCTAAGACTTACCTTGTCATATTTGCCCCATCATTCTTGTTACCCAGTTTCAAATCCTGAGTCACAGGGCTCCTTGTGCTGCCTCTGCTACAGGGCTAGTCCTGTCCTCAGGCTTCCCTCAGGATGACCCCTCAACCACCCCTCCGCTCATTTCCGCGCTTCCTGCCTGCAGCAGGCCCCCCAACACCTGAAGCCTGAAGAGTTCCCAGGAATTTTTGACAAACTTTCCAGACTCTGTTTCTCTCTAGAGATCTGTAGTCTTCCCTAGTCAGTCTTCCCAACATGTCAGTTTTATCACATCACTGCAGCCCAGCCCCCCTCTCACCAGACTGACCACCCAGACTCACCAGGGCAAGCCTGCCAGTGTCTGTGTTTGCCCCAGTGCCCTGCTCTGTCCCCCGTACCTGCCCCCACTCCAGGCTGCCTCCCCATCTACCCTGCTGGCCACCCCAGCCCTCACTGTCTGTCCCATGTCCTGGGTGTAACTGTAGTACTACCAGGGGTCCTAAGGTAAGCTTCCCACCTGCTTCATCTCACCTCAGCTGGGTCCCCAAGGGCCTGTGTGGGACACAGAGGGAAAATGCCTGACAAACGATGGCTAAGGACCCTCCCCCAAATCCCCTTGGGTACCTACCCCTGCTTTCTCAGGATTTGACAGTGCTCTGCCATCTGGAACAGCTGCTCTTGGTCACTCATCTTGATCTGTCGCATAATCGTCTCCAAGCCCTGCCCCCTGCCCTGGCCGCTCTGCGCTGCCTTGAGGTAAAGCACTCACTCCTCCATCACGATCCTGGGTGGTCCTTTTCCCTGCTTTTCCCTCAGAAGTCTGCCCACCCTACAAGATGTCCAGGCCCTCCCAGCCCCTGCAGATGACCCCTTGCCTTCTCCGCTTCCATCACCCAGTCTGACCCCAGAAGCCTTTCTGTGTACTGTAAGCTGATTGCCATGGGCTTCCCAGTTGGTTGTACCAGTCCCAGGCCGATGGCTGCCTGCCCTGCCTTGTCTTGCCCTCCCTGCTTCCCAGGTGCTGCAGGCTAATGATAATGCCATCGAGACCCTGGACGGTGTCACTAACCTGCCCCGGCTGCAGGAGCTCTCACTGTGCAACAACTGTATCCTCCTTGTGGGGGCCTTTCAAACAGCGGTAGGGTAAGATGCCATGCTGGGAGGGGACAGACAGCAAAGCAAGCAGGGTGAGTACCCCCCTGAGACTGGCTCTGACAGTCTCAGCTGAAGAGAGAAGATACCGTGGGGCTGTATGGGGTTAGCATTGACTTCCACTGGGAGCATTTTGCAGGGTGGAAGTGACTTCCCCACGCCAAAGTTCATTAGCAGGCAGCCTGCATATGTTCTTGGCTACCACCTAGTATTTTAAAAATCAGGGAGTTTCATATTTTAAAAAATTGAGCTGATTCCTCTTAGAAGTTGGAAGTTAAACAGCTCTTGGCCTGCATTTCCACTTGGCAACCTGTGGCCATTGCTGCTTTCTCCACCATTCCTTGGTACGACACCCAGCCTGTCTTCTGTGCTTCCTGCCTGACCCCCATTTGCAGTCTAGAGCCTTACTGTCTTTGGGAAAGCATGCGAGATGCCCATCAACCAGGCTGCCAGGCAGCCGTCCTGTTCCTAATGGAAAACAGTGAAGTGTGCACAGAAAACAGATCTGATGGAACCGACCAAGCTTTCCTTGACTCTCCTGCCCAAGGCCTCCAGCAGCCTGCAGTGCTCCGGCTTCTTGCCTCCTGCCGTAGGCTGGTCCTCCTCAACCTGCAAGGCAACCCCCTGTGTGAAGCAGTGGGCATCTCTGAGCACCTAGCTGAGCTCCTGCCTTCTGTCAGCAGCATCATCACCTAAGAGACCCTTCCCTACTGTTCCCCTTTAATTTATCAGCACTGAATAAACAATGGAGAGGCCCCCTCAGGCTGCTATGCCACCGCCATCACTACCACCACCACCATTACTACTACCACCTATCCTGGAAAAGAAAGGGAGAGACTGTATGTTGGCTCACCATCTGTACTTTCATTTTATGCTCAGTCTTGCTGTTTGCTATCATGGAGAATCAGTGTTAGGGCAGAATCAGGGAATTGGCTGGATTTCAGTTTACCTTCTGCTTTGGGCTCTGGCTCAGTCTAGGTTCCAGGCTGGGACTGGGTTTGGATTCAGGTTCTGGTTGGGGCTTGGCTATAAGATAGCTCTAAGTCTCTCCAACTGGAAGGGCTTATAGAAGTTTCTCCCAGGACCTCTGCCTCTTCCAGAGGCCCTCTGTGTGCTGGCTTTCATTCACCACAGCTGAAAAAGCTGTTCGCAGGGGAAGTGGGCCAGAGTGGCCTTGCTCTACCCTCTCAGAACAGTATCAACCCCCATGAATTGCTGTCTGGGGCTAAAGAGCCCTTCGAAATACTTGATCCCATTTTTTTTGAATCACAAGCTCTCAGGGATGAGACAATCAGGCCTGTTGTACTGATGAGGATCGCTGTCAAGATGCACCCTAAGTTTCCATGCTCATGTGTTGTAGCCAAAGCTCTCTCCGTCTCCGTCTGGAACTCCAGATTCCTGTGTATTGCCTGCCCATTGCCTGTGTATTGATATGGAACGGTTGGGCAGAGCCTGACCTCAGCTCCCTGGGGTACTGAGCCTGGTGTGTGCTCCCATGGTACCCACCCCCCCAGCACACATATGCCTGAAGGCTCTGAGGCCCTTAAGCCTCCTGGCAGGAGGAAAGGGGAGTGGCTCAGGGCTTAGGACACTGAGTCAAACGGCTAGGTGGGGAATGAGAAAGATCAACTGAAACAGGGAGAGAGTGTGACAAAGCATTTTCTTGGTTTCCTAGGAATCTACCTGTGCCCATGTGTTCACACACATGCATGCTCTCCGGGACCCAGCCCCTCCCATATCCATAGGGATGCACAGACATACTCTTAATGAAGCCCTTTGGCTGGCCTGCCTCTCACTGCCTGAATTTTTATTTCTATTGGTTCATCCTTTGAGAGTGTGGGAGGTGAGGGCAGACCCCTTACCAGGTCAGGGGCTTGGAGCTAGACAAGAAAAGGTCAGCATGGGAATGGAGGGTTCCATGCAAGGTCTTGAGCCTCTGTCCCCACTCCCTGAGGGACCTCGCTGCCTGATGTATCACCAAACCCAGCCTCTCTTGCAGTCTACTTCCTCGTGTCTTTTTGCCAACCCTGTTTTCACTGTCTTGGTCTGTGGCCTGTGGGCAGAGCTGGGACAACAGTGGGATGGAGGCAAGAGACCCCAGAACAGGGGCCCACCATCCTGAGGAACTCCAGGAGAGGCTTCCTGAAGAGGCCTGGACTCCTTTTTGCCTCGCGGTTCTGTCCACGGTGTCCCTGGTATTTTTTCTAGTGCCAGGGCGGGGTTGGGATGCACACAGGGCAGGCCCCTGGATCCGGTCCGTCAGGATTCCCAGGAAGAATTCCAGACTTTGGAGAATCCTGCACTCCAGCTGACCAGACACTCCTCTCAGTAAGAAGTGGGTACTCTGCAGCCTAGGGCCTCAGTTCCCACTGGAGTCTGAGAACAAAGGCTGAAGCCTCCCCATACCCCCAGGCTGGGGGCAGAAAATGAGATTGCTCCTACTATGACAACCCCCGTCCCAAATTTGGAAGGACCTGAGAAGCTGGGGGCAGCTTCCTTATGCCTGGGGACATAGGGCAGGAGAAGGAAGAAGGAAGGACAGATTGGTGGAGGGGTGGGGGTCAGAGGATCTGGTAGAGCCGGCAGGTGTCAGAGGCTGGCTGGTGGAGCCAGTCTGAGGGCCTCGCTGCTTATGTCACCAGTCCATGGCTTGGGATCCCAGGACCTCCCTGGGCAGGTGGAGCCCCGGGACCAGGCCCATGGGCCAGTTTCAATGGGCTGAGCCTGGCCTGGGCGGCATGAGAGCTGGCTAGACAAGGGTGTGGGTGGAAGGGTCTCCCTGTTACGCTGCCCTCAGGGTTTCTTGCCCAGGAAAAGAGGCCGAAAACCTGGTGTGGGATCCTGCAGATCGGACATTCTCACCAAGGCCTTCCACTTACACTTGAGCTTCAGCCGTGACAGATCCCCACCCCTCCCTAGCCCCTGCCCCATCCCCCATCCTCGATTTCCACAGTTCCTTGAAATGGTAAGGGTGCAGCCGGGCCTTCTTTCTGCCCCCTATCTCTGTAGACAGCCCCCAGAGGCCTGGCCTCTTATACCTACAGGGGGGATGGGGAACCAGCCTTCCCCTTTTTTCCAGCAGCTTGGCCCCGCCTCCCCCCCCATAAACCACTTGCCGGCCCGCCCCCACACCTTCCACTCATACGTCGTCGTAGTCTGTTCAGTCCTGTCCATCCTGTCCTGTCCGGACCTGTTCCACCCCGGCCGCGGGACTCAGCACTTCTATTGCCAACGCCGCTGGCAGGTGAGGGACTCCGCTGGGTACTGTGGTGCTGAGCCCTGGCGTCGCTTCTGGCCCTAACAAGGTGGGATGTGGGCCAGCCCCAGCTTGTGTCAGCCTCTGCGAGGCTGCCCCCTGACACCAAGCCTCTGCTCCCGGGAGCACAACTCCCACACCTACCTATAGCTCCCCACTCCTCCGGCCCCTCAGCATGGGTGTTTGACCCTAGTGAGGAATGCCAAGGACCCCAAGCCCTGCAATGTCTTATGCCAGGAATCTTGGGTGGGTGGATCTGCAAAGGAACAGGTCCTAGAAGCAGTCAGCTCCATGACTTCTAGACTGAGGAGCCAGCAGGTGGAGGGAATCGACCTGGAGTTGGTTTGTGCTGCTGGGTACAAGTGTCTACTCATTTCTGGGATGGGTGCTTGAGCAGGTTTCTGAATTGGTGGATGTCTGTCTATGTGAGGGCGAGAGGGGAAGACTTCTCTGCAGTGAGGGAGGTGTCCTAGGTGAGTCTGAAAGGAATCCCCCGGGGAAGGTCTCTGGATGCATCTGGGGGAATCTCTGGCTCAAGATTAGATCACCTCAATCATTTGGCTGGGACTGAATCAGTTCTCGGCATAGAGGGCTCCTGAGTAGGCTGACTGGGCATCCTCGGTACATCCTCTGGGTGATCAGAGAGCCACCCTGCCTTTTCCATACAGGCACGATGGACGGTCCTCGATCAGACATGGGCCGCTGGGGTGGGAACCCTTGGCAGCCCCCTGCCACACCTTCTCCAGAACCAGAGCCAGAGCCAGAGCGACGTTCTCGCCGAGGGGGCCGTTCCTTCTGGGCTCGCTGCTGTAGCTGTTGCTCCTGTCGGAATAGGGCAGATGATGATGTGGAGCTTGAGCCCCATGGAGACCGGGGGTCTGGCTCCAGGGGTCGAAGACCTGACTCCCGCGGCTCAGACTCCCACCAGCCTGGCTTCTACCGGGTCAGTGGTGTGAATGCAGCTGGAGATGGCACCATCCAAGGTGAGGCCTGCCTGTCCACCTTAATGGCAGAGCATAAGGACATTAATGGGACCTGAGATTCATCAGGTATCTCTGGGGTTCTGGGAGGCTAATTATGGGGTCCTGGGCTCTGCATATGGTTTCACTGACCTGGAGCTGTGACTTTATAGAGGGCATGCTGGCGGTGACTGGTGTGGATCTGCTGAGTGCACGCTCAGAGCAGAATCGCCGAGAGCACCACACAGACGAGTTTGAGTACGACAAACTGATTGTGCGCCGTGGGCAGCCCTTCTGCGTGGCCCTCCTCCTGTCTCGACCCTATGAGTCCTCTGATTATGTTGCCCTGGAGCTGTTCATCGGTCAGTGAGCCCTATCGTGGAGAGGGTGAAGGCCCTAGACAGGGCAGGGGCCTCCCCGCCCTGGCATTAGGGTCAGAGGGGCTGCTTTAGGCCCTTCCCGCCTCCTCCCTCCTCACCTCTGCCAGACGGGGCAGATGCGAAGGTGTTAGTGTGCCCTAGGAGTGCATCTCAGGGAGGGTCTTGGTGTCCCTGTGTTCCTCGGCTCAGCGTCTTCAAGCCTTCAGGAGCATCTCTCTCAACATACCTGTTCTTCAGGTGCTTGCTTCAACATCTCCTTCAGTGGTGCTGCCTCTGGGTCTCTCTGGGTCTGCTTTTCTTCCCCAGAGTATGGCCAGCTCACTCTGCTCTCTCTGCACTGTCTGTCCTGCTCTGTGCCCCTGTTTCTCTAACCCCATGGCCTAGGGTAGGTGCCTCCTTAGCCACATTGCTTGGCGGCCATTGACTGCCCAGGCTGGTGATTAAGCTATTGCTGGGGGCGGGCGACTCCTCATATGCTTTGATTAGGGCCTAGCTTTGCCCACCCCAATCTCTAATTTCTCTGGTGCCACTACCACCTCCGCTGGGGACACCCTGGGTTCTGGAAGCTGCAGCCCCAGGGAGTGCAGAGTTGGCCTTCAGGATTGAGCCTATGCTCTCACGTGGGGTGGGGCATCTGAACCCAGCCAGGGTGGCTCTGCTTCGTCAGCCCAGGTGCTGGGACAGTCAGGCAGGCCGACAGTGACAGTGGTCTGGTGTCTTCTGTCCACTTCTAGTTCAGTGTCAGGAGAACAGGTTTGGGATGTTGGACTAGGGCTCTCCCCTGCCATCCATACAAACATCGGGCGGGGACAGAGCTGCTCTCAGAGAGACTGTCACAGACTAAGGTGATGGCCCAACACAGGTACGCACACACAATGGCTCATACACATTCTGGGTGGGGCTGGGAGAAGCCCAGGGCTCCAGTCCCCCTTCTCAGGGAGGCCTTCCCAGCTAATTGCTGCTTCTCCCACTCCAGGAAACAACCCTGAGGTGGGCAAGGGCACCCACGTGGTCATCCCAGTGGGCAAAGGGGGCAGTGCAGGCTGGAAGGCCCAGGTGACCAAGGCCAGTGGGCAAACTCTGACCCTACGGGTCCACATCTCCCCCAACGCCATCATCGGCAAGTTTCAACTCACAGTCCGCACACGCTCAAAGGCTGGCGAGTTCCTGTTGCCCTTTGACCCCCACATTGAGATCTACATCCTCTTCAATCCCTGGTGCCCAGGTGAGCTTGCTGGAGTCAGGAGCAGGGGATGGGCAGAAGGGGAGGTCAGGGCTTCTTTTCCTAGGATCCAGCTAAATGCTAGGTGCCTGGACCTCAGAGAAACCAGCCTTCTATTGTCCATGTGAGGGGACTTAGATACAATGTAGAAAGGTGGCTGGCCCAAGGCCACACAGCCTCACCTCTCCTGGCAAACGGCGCTAGTTACAGCCACCTCTTTTATGGTGAACTTCCTCCTACCATCTCTGTCACTGTCCCTCTGTCCTTCCTGGGAGCAGTGCTGCCAGGCTAGAGATACCTCGCTTTTTCTCTGTGGACTTGGTCTTGCAGAATTGGCCCAGAGGCAGATGGGGCCCAGGTAGAGAGCTGAGGGGACTAGGCATCTGTGTTTTGGGATACAGAGGACATCGTGTATGTGGACCATGAAGATTGGCGGCAGGAGTACGTGCTTAATGAATCTGGGAGAATTTACTACGGGACTGAAGCACAGATTGGCGAGCGGACCTGGAACTATGGCCAGGTGGGGCTAACCAGGGCCACGGTGCACTTGGGAGCTGGAGGCAGGTGGGGTGGGGTAGGAGAGCAGGCACTGGCTCCAGGGTCACCCTCTGCCCTTACTCCCTCCAGTTTGACCATGGGGTGCTGGATGCCTGCCTGTACATCCTGGACCGGCGGGGAATGCCATACGGAGGCCGTGGGGACCCAGTCAGTGTCTCCCGCGTCATCTCTGCTATGGTGAGCACATTGATGTCTGAGCCCTACTGTGTGTGTCCACCTCCTGCCTCCCCTACCTGCTGCTCCTGTCCTTTCTGATTTCCCCAGGACTCCAGCCCTGTCCCTGCCTTTGCAAAGGATACTGTGGAAAGGGGTCTCCCTCCTCCTCTTCCCTCCTTTCCTGCCCCCCACCCCACCCAGCCCTGGCTCTTGTCCCAGCTGTAGTGGAATGTAGGGCCCAGCCCTAAACTTGGCACACCCAGGATTCACATTCCTGTGTCAGACCAGCAGCGGGGGGAAGTGGGGCTTCCAGCGAGATCCAGAGGCACTTAAGAGTGAGGGGCTGCTGTGGGATCAGGGGCTGGGCTGGGGACACATGGCAGGTGTGAGCCTCTCACCCACCCCGTGCACCCCACCCCGTCCTGGGCAGGTGAACTCCTTGGATGACAATGGGGTCCTGATTGGGAACTGGTCTGGCGATTACTCCCGAGGCACCAACCCATCAGCATGGGTGGGCAGTGTGGAGATCCTCCTCAGCTACCTACACACAGGCTCTTCTGTGCCCTATGGCCAGTGTTGGGTCTTCGCTGGTGTGACCACCACAGGTAAGGGACGGACTGGAACTGGGGCACCTAGGCCCTACAAAGAGGAGGCGGCCAACCCCACTGTGCGCACAGTGTAAGGGCAGGTTGGGGAAGGAGGTGGTAGATGATAGGCTGGCCTTAATTATCATTACTCAGTGTTAATTACCTAGAGAGGCTAAAGGGAGAGGAGGGAGAAGGGACAGGCTGGCATCCTGGCTTGCCCTAGCCCCCAGTGCTCCCTGGCCCAAACGCTTCCTGATCCACCTTGGTAACCCCAGTTGCCCAGTCTGCCTGATGCCTCTCTTGTCCCCATCCCTGCCCTGGCCCTGGGCTCTGAGCCCCAACTCTGGCTCCTCCACAGTGCTGCGCTGCCTCGGCTTAGCCGCCCGCACCATCACCAACTTCAACTCAGCACACGACACAGACACATCCCTCACCATGGACATCTACTTTGATGAGAACATGAAGCCTCTGGAGCACCTGAACCGTGATTCTGTTTGGTGAGGCCAGGGCCGGGGCTGGGCTGGGGCTGGGGCTGGGCTGCCCATCCCTGCCAAGGAACAGAAACCAGGGCCTGGACTGGAAACCAAGGAGGCATTTCAGGGCTGGGGGACTGTCTCCGGATGGGTGCTCAGACCCAGCCTTCTGTGCGGTTCATGCAGGAATTTCCATGTGTGGAACGACTGCTGGATGAAGAGGCCGGATCTGCCCTCAGGCTTTGATGGGTGGCAGGTGGTGGATGCCACACCCCAGGAGACCAGCAGTGGTGAGGCAGAGCTCTGCCTGGTTCCTGTACCCCACCTTGGCCCCCTCCCCATCTCCCCAACCTTGGTAACAAACTAAGTGTCCACATGGCTGGACCTTAGAGCCTAGTCCTTTAACCCCATGGTTTTTTTAACTGGCTTACTGATAGAAACACCGTAAGCCTTTAGTTTATTTTCACTTTTCTGCACAACTCTCTATTTGCCTGAGTTTTATTTATTTATAATTATTAATAGACTCAAATAGTGCAAAGATCAGAAGATTTAAGAGAATTTAGTAAGAAGTTTCCCTTCTCCAACTAATCTATTCTCATTTGCTTTTTTTTACTTACATATCCTGGAGGTAACTAATTAAAGGGCCCTTTATTTATATATTTTTTACAGTTTAAAAAGTCATTATTATAAGAAATACATGCTTGGAAGGAAAAGGTAAGTATAGAATTGAATAATATAAAATGTGAAAAGTTCCCTATTCTCTCTCAGGAGGTTTTTGTTTTAAGTACATGTCTAGGTCCCATCCCAGACCTCACACATTACAGAATTTACAGAGATAATGTATAGGATTCTGTATTTTCAAAAGTTCTCCTGGTGATGCTGAAGATCAGCTGAGTTTGGGACCCACTCCAGGCCCTTGTGGAACACATGGGAAACAGTGGCCCAGAGAGGTGGAATGACTTTCTCTAGGGCACAAAGCATTAGGTCACTAGCAGATCAAATCCGGTTCCTGATTCCTTCCCTTTTTGACACCCATTCTTGCTTTCATTCTCTCCTGTCTGTTCCATTGCTCATTATGAGTTTCATTTCATGTACAGTATAGAAAAAGTTAGGGTTTGGATAGGTTCAAAAAAGAAAATAGGCCCTATAATCCAGCCCTAAGAGATCACCACTGATGACATAATCTACTGGTCTCTTTTCCACAGTATCTGTTTCTGCAAAAACTAGCCCTGTCGTACACTCTGTTCTCAAACAGGTCCCTCCCGCACTTTCCTACCTAACCACTCCAGCCCCAGGCAGCCGGGCCTGCCGCTCCTGCTGCCTTCCTGCCCACCTCTCCCTTCCTCACCCTGGGTCAGCAAGCCCTCCACTAGCCTGCATTCCTCCTCTGGCCTCTAGCCAGACCCCTCCCTCTCAATCTTTTCTCTGTAGGGTGCCCCTGAGTTGTGCAATCCAATGATGCCTGCAATGATGGAACAGCCTGGCCCAGGACCCCGGGAGGTCTGAATTCTGGCCCCCACTCTGGGAAGTGTGGAGTGGGCAGCAGACAGGGACTCTGGGGCCAAGCAGACCCGGGCTTGATTCCAGCTTGATCACTTATCAGATATGTCACCTTGGGAGGTTCTTTGCACCTTTGGGCTTTGGTGTTCTCATAAGTAATACAGGGATAATATATACCACAGAGAGTAGTTGGAAGAATTAAATACTAGCATCATATATTAGAGACTAACAGATGCCTGGAACATAGCAACTACTCCATATATATTAGCTCCTTCCATCCTCTGTCTTTTGAGATGCTGACATTTACCTTATCTTACTGAGCCTCAGTTTCTCCATCTGTAAAGGAGACCGCAGTGCTAGGTGTTTTCTAAGATTCTTTCCTGTTAGATGGCCCTCACTTCCTGCTCTGTGTCCTTTCCTGCCAAGCCTCCTCCATGTCAGCCCATCTCCTCTAGAAAAGTCTCCTGAGCACAATAAGGTCAGACTTTGTTTTGCACCAGCTTCCCACAGAGAACTCCCCAGTGGGCTACGGAGCTAAGGGTTTGATCTGGATCTTTCAGGAATGGTGGCTGTGATGTCACTGCTCTCCCAGCCAGCAAGCAGAACCATCCTGGGCTCTGGGTTTGTCTTGATGTAGGGTGGAGGGTTCTGACTTCTGGGGATCACAGACAGCCAATCTCCAGCTTCAGCCAGTGGAGGAAGAGTGCTTTGGTTATAAGGCAGGCTTGTCCCATGTTTACTCCACCCCCAGCTGACGGAGGCCAAATGGAGCTGCACCCTTCCTTCCATTCCTTCCTGGGTTGGACCAGGTGGCAGCTGACCCTGAAGCAATGGTCATTGGGCCTGGGTGGGTGGGCCTCTCCCAGGATCTGAGGGTTCCCCTGCGCCCCCTTGGATCTCTCACATCTCTCCTTCCCTCACTCCCCTAGGCATCTTCTGCTGCGGCCCCTGCTCTGTGGAGTCCATCAAGAATGGCCTGGTCTACATGAAGTATGACACGCCCTTCATTTTTGCCGAGGTGAGGGCTGTGCTCCGGATGCCTCCTTGGGCATTCTGGAGGGGTTAGAGCACTGGCTTTGTTTCTGGGTTCTCTGGTCCTGACTTCACCACTGACTGACTAGCTGTGTGTTCTTGGGCAAGTCATTCATTCTATGATTTTTAGTTTTCTTAACTGTAAAAGAGGGATAATAATGGCTGCCATGCTTTCTGTACTCAGGATCAAAAGACATAATGGGTATGAAACTGCTTTATAAATTGTAAAGTCTTCAGATGAGCCTAAGGGATTACTGTTATTAATACCAAAGAGCGCTGCAAGGAGGCTCCTGACCTGCTCTCTGACCTCATCTGGCCTAGCTTGGAAAGTCTCCCAGTTTGGCTCTGCCAGGAAGCTCCCAGTCTTTGGATCTAGCACTTCCTGTAGCTCCTAGGATCCTGAGAAAGCACCTAGGGGTCAGGCCCCCCTCAGACCCTCTGGCTCACTCATTCCTGGCTCACAGCCTCCACACCACCCCAACAGGTGAACAGTGACAAGGTTTACTGGCAGAGGCAGGACGATGGCAGCTTCAAGATTGTGTACGTGGAGGAGAAGGCCATTGGCACGCTCATCGTCACAAAGGCCATTGGCTCCAACATGCGGGAGGATGTCACCCATATCTATAAGCACCCAGAAGGTACCATTCCCCCAGCCTGGCCAGCTGCAGTCCATGCCAGTGTTCTCCCTGTGGGCTTGCCCAGCCTAGCAGTTGCTATAACTTCACCCGTGACCCTCAACCCCCAGGCTCAGAAGCGGAGCGGAAGGCAGTGGAAACAGCAGCCTCCCACGGCAGCAAACCCAGCGTGTATGCCAACCGGGACTCTGCTGAGGATGTGGCCATGCAGGTGGAGGCACAGGACGTAGTGATGGGGCAGGACCTGACGGTCTGTGTGGTGCTGACCAATCGTGGCAGCAGTCAGCGCACTGTGAAGCTGCACCTCTACCTCTCTGTCACCTTCTACACTGGCGTCACCGGGTCTGTCTTCAAGGAGAGCAAGAAGGAAGTGGTGCTGGCCCCAGGGGCCTGTAAGTGCCCCTTGCGCAGCCCTGCCCCCTAGATGCCCGGGCCCACTGGGGCTGTGGACATGGAGACCCCACAAGGCCATGTTTGAGGAAGCAAACCTAGGTGACACCATGCGTCTCTTCCCCAGCGGAACGCATGTACATGCCCGTGGCCTACAAGGAATACCAGCCCCACCTTGTGGACCAGGGGGCCATGCTGCTCAATGTCTCAGGCCATGTCAAGGAGAACGGGCAGGTGCTGGCCAAGCAGCATACCTTCCGTCTGCGCACCCCAGATCTCTCTCTCACGGTGAGGGCAACATGCCAGGGCTTCAGGGATGGCCAGGGGTGGGAGGAAATTGGAGGTGAAGGCACTGAACAGAAAGGGGGCTGGCCTGGCAAGCCCTTCCAGGAGAAGAAGTCAGGGGCTGCCTCTGGGCTCTTGGGCCTCCATTTCCTCATCTATAAAATGAGATCTCATAGCCCTGATTCTATGGTGGCTCCAGTTGGGGAGTGGGTCGGCTTTCCTCCCTAGCTTTGTGGAGCCTTCTCTCAGAGGCAGATAGGTGGGAGGTTCTGATTCTAAGGAGTTTCTCCTTTCTGGAGGAGTGCACCATCCCCATGTAATTGATCAGGATCTCTGATGCGGGGGTGGGGCTCTTTTTCTCTCAGTTATTGGGGGCAGCTGTGGTTGGCCAGGAGTGCGAAGTACAGATTGTTTTCAAGAACCCCCTGCCTGTCACCCTCACCAATGTTGTCTTCCGGCTGGAGGGCTCCGGGTTACAGAGACCCAAGATCCTCAATGTCGGGTAAGTCTGGCCTCTCTCCTGGCCCCTGCCACTGTCCTTGCCTGTGTCCTGGGCTGCCCTGGGTCGCAGCTTCACTTCCTTTCTCAGTCAGGACATGTATGGTCTGTCAGGACTCAACAAAGCTGCTTGGGGCCAGTCAGCAATCCCTCCTGCCACAGTTCAGTCCAACCAGTGCTTGAGGAGCTCTGCTGAGTGCTTGGTGCTGCGCTCTGGGTCCCTGCCCTGCCTCAGTGTCTCAGCCCTGCCTCACTGTCTCATTAGGGAACTACAGTTTCACATAGGGATCATTAGTAACTCATCACTAACACTGGCCCAACCCTCATGAGTTGACCAGTCATTTTCAGGAATATTATCTTATTTGGATACCATTAAAACCCTTTTAAAGTACATTAGAGATCATCATGTGATTAAAAGCAAAGCTTTGGGATCCTAACGACTTAGATACAAGTCCCAGCTCCATCACTCAGTGGCTATGTGCCCTTGGGCAAGTGACGTACTTCCTCTAAGCCTCAGTTTTCTCACCTGCTGAGTGGGGATGGCACCAGTACCTGGCTCTGAGGGTCATGGTAAGAAGTACATGAGATGATGTGGGTAAGGCCTGTTGCATTGGACTTGGCGCAAAGGTAGTATTCTGTTGGTAGTTGTTTTTTTGATTATTACCACCATCACCCCCAGTTTACAGATGAAGAAGCTGGTGGCCACACCTTCCAGTGTCTCACAGCTCATAACGGGCTCTCTGCCCTTCCTGCCTTGGCATCATGCACGGCTTTCAGGCCTGCTGTTTGGTTTGTGTCATGAGGACCAAGCAGCAGATCTGGAGGAGAGGGCCCCCTGCCTCAGGCCTTCATCCAGCTCACCTGGGTCTGAGCCTGGGCCCGGCAAGGCTCTGTGTCTAGTGAAAGCATGCACGGCCCTTCTGTTCCTAGGCTTATGCTGTCATTTCTAACGCAGACCCATGCAGGTCTGCCCTGTTCCCACCTAGGAACAGCACAGAGGGGAAGCCAAGAAGGCCAGAGGCTGACCTTTACAATCGGCTTTCTGGGGACAGGACAGGCATTGTCCTCATTTGACAAAGCATGCCTGAGGGAAAGCCCAGGTCCCTGGGGAGGGGATTGGTGGGGGTAGCAGTGTCCCCAACCCATCCTGCCCACTCTGCCCATCCCTTCCCTTCTGCCCTGTAGTGCCATCACTTTTGCCAAGTGTCAAAGCTGAGAAGGTTGCTGTCCTGATCTTTGCTGTAGCCTGGACTCAGGATGATGAGATGTTACAGGGAGGGCTTTCCCCTGTGGCCTTGCATGGGCTTCTGGCAGCTGAGAGAGGGGAGCTTGGGGTCCCCAGGTGCTTGCCTTGCAGGTAGGCATTTCTCATGATGATGGAGGGTGGTTCCCCTGTTCTGAGGGATCCCCAGAGATGGACTCTCCTCAGCAGCCTCTCCAGACCTTTGATTCTTGCCCCACCTGTGAGTTAGGAGAGGACCACTGGGCTGAGTGTTGAGATGCCCTGTTCCCTCCTAGAAACAGCACAGAGGGGCTGACCTTTAAAATTGGCTTTCTGGGGACAGGACAGGCATTATTCTCATTTGACAAAGCATGCCTGAGGGAAAGCCCAGGTCCTCTCTTCATCTTCGGGGCTTGTGTGAGTCTACTGCCATTTAAAGGCTCCTGTCTTCCTGCCAGTCACTGAGAAGCTTGAATGGTGGTTTCTCAAGCAGGTCATCCTTGGACATTGTATGGCTCCCTCGAACAACTGAGGGCCCTGGGGAGAGATCCCTGGACTGTCAGTTTGGAGATATTAGATTCCAAGAAGATGGGTGTCACTTTGCTCTCATTTGCACATCAAAGGCTGTGGTTTGGAATCCCATTATAACATAAGGTGTGCCACCCAACGTGGTGACTGGCTACTGAATAAACATGCCAGAACTAACTCCACCGGATGGCTGGTGTCACCACCAACCCAATCACCAGGGGAGGCTGGAAGTCTATTCCAAACCCCCAGAGCCTGAATCATATTCTCTAAAATATCCTTAGGGTGGCCTTCTAAGGGGGTGGATTTGACTTTGGGGAAATAGCCTAAAGTCATGTAGAGCTAAGACTAATAAGGTAGGTAAATGTTTGTTTCTTGCATAGGCAACATGGTTGAACAAGGATGTAATTGGAGAACAGTGCTAATTTGGATGTGTACTTTCTGGTGTCCTTGTCAGAGAGTTGATTTCATTACCTGTGCTCAGGTACAGGCATATGCCAGCTTTAGCAGCTGGGGTGCTCAGCTGAAACTCACAAACGGGGGTGTGACAAAGGTCTCACCTAACACTAAGCCTTGGCAGGGAGAGCTCTTGACATTCCTATCGGGAACCTGGAAAGCAATTTCTCTTGGAATTAATGTTGTAAGTAAAGACTAGATTTGGAAATAGTACAGTTCAGTTATAGCATGGATTAAATAGACCTGAAGGCTGGCCTGAGCCTAAATAACTTTTAACTTTTTTATCTGTGAAAAACTGAGCACAAATTAAAAGCACAGATTTGTAACCAGCTAGAGTGTAGCCTACCTGTTAAAATACAGCCTTAATTTCCAGCTACAGTATGATAGGAAGTCTAGAAATTAAGTCTATAACCTAACAAGTAGGCTATATATTCCCCTTGCCCCCCACTACTTCCCTCCTTCCTCGAGCTTGGAGGTGTTGTGAAGACCATCCGATCCCACCCCCTCATTTTACATTCATTTCCATTTCACAAATGACAAAGTAAGAGTCAGAGAAGTTCAGTAGCTTGTCCTAAACCAGACATCTAACAGTGGTTGAAGGAGAAGTACAGAACAGTTCAGGAGAGCCACTTGGAAGCTAAGTGTATTGTCCCAAGGACAGCTCATCCTTGAAGTTGGGGTGCTGGCTCATTCCCTTGAAGGACTGGTGTCTGCACAGGGTCCAGCTCCAGAGAGGGTCCCCAGTACAGGCTTGAACAGGGCCAGAGACAAAGGTTTTGGCAGAGGCAGGAAAGGACAGATGGTAACAGGTATGGGAAGATGTGATATAAACACAGCGTATAAAGTGCGTATACAGATTGCTGGATTTGCTCAGAGGGCAAGATTCAATTTCTTGAGCCCAGAAGGTGCTCAAAGGAGCCCTCACATGGTGTGAGCTAGGCCTGGAGGAGACACACGGGAGAGTTTGTGGAAGGGAAGGAGCACAGCGGGGCTTGTGGGCAGGAGCAACGGTGGGGTATGATGAGGCCACGCAGCAGGCAGGGCTGAGTCAAAGTGAGCCTGTGTGTCCGGTTAGGGAGCTTCCATCTCAACTCGGAAGCACTGAGGTAGCCAGGCCCTTGAAGGGTTTAATTTACCTCCGAGTGATTAAAGAATAGAATGGAAATAGAAGGCAAGTAGGCCAATTAGAAGGTTGGTAAAATTGTGATTCCCAGAGGAAATCTAGATTCCTGGTTTGGGAATAGATTGCAGAGGTTCATGAAGAAGGGAGAAAATGAACACATTGTAGTGTGTGCATGCTCATGGGTATTTCTCTGTCACACACATGTGAGTGTGTGTCAGTTTAAAGATGCAATTGTCTGTTTTGGGGAAGGACTTTCCTTTTTTTCTGAGATAACATCCTTCCAATGTTTTGGGGTATTAAAATGCCCCTTCTTTGGCAAAATGATTTGTGGCAGGGGTAATTAATTTTCTTCTACTCTCTTTCTTGACAAAACCACAAGTATTTGGCAATACTGTGTTGAGCCTCCAAGTGTCATTTTGAAGTTTTCTTGGTCTTAGAAACCCCAGAGGAGATGGGGACAGCTGGCCTGGTCAGGGCAGGAGTGCTGGCAGTGGAGAGGAGGGTGAGGCTGTGCAGCAGTCTTCATCCAGGTGTTTCTTCTCCCAGGGAGCCGGAGGGAGGAGTCCCAGGCGATCTCCAGCTCAAGTGGCTGGGTGGGTGGCAGCTGATCTAGCTAGGCGGAGGCAGAGGGCTGAGGGCTCAGGCTTTATCCTGGTCATGGGTGTGGAGATTCCAGCTGAGCCCAGAAATGTCTGAAGGGCTCCACCTCCTGCTTCTTCTTTTCTGGCTGTCCCATGGGTCCTTACTCCCTACTCCTCCCCCAGTCACCCCAGGCCTATGACCCGGTCTCTGCCCACAGGGACATTGGGGGCAACGAGACAGTGACGCTGCGCCAGACCTTCGTGCCTGTCCGACCAGGCCCCCGCCAGCTCATTGCCAGCTTGGACAGCCCACAGCTCTCCCAGGTGCATGGTGTCATCCAGGTGGATGTGGCTCCAGCTCCTGGGGGTGGGGGCTTCCTTTCAGATGCTGGAGGCAACAGTCATGCAGGGGAGACCATCTCTATGGCATCTCGAGGTGGGGCTTAGCCCTAGGCCAGGAGCAATGGGACTGGACTCAGATTAGCAAGGACATTGCCTCAAGACAGGGGCTCACTGCAGAGTGGTTTCCTGAATAGGGGCTCAGGTTGGGAGGCCAGGGCACCTGGGGAGGGAACCAATCTTGACTTGCACTGGCATCACAGATGCTAATAAACTCTTTTTTAATAAAGCTGCTGTTCTGTCCATCCATCAGTCCATGCCAGGCCAAGGACTGTAGACCCAGGAATGCATGTGGCATTTCTGGCACCCTGGGCTGAGAAGCTTGGTTGGCAGGTCAGTGATAGTGCCAGAGCTCAGCAGCTCTCAAAATAGGGCCTACTAAGGGACAGGACAGCCTCCAGTGTTAACCTGTCCAGCTTCTCCCAGTCCGAGGGCGCTCCTACTGACCATAGCCCTTTCGAAGCCCCTTGGAGTAGGAGGGGACTCCCCTCCTCTGTGGTACTCACTGAGAAGAGAGGAACCTAAATGCCTTTTTTTGTAGGCACATGTTTGAGGTAGAAATAGGCTAGAGGATTTTCTAAGCAGCAAAAGCCACTTTGCAGTGCTTATTTTCAAATATCCTTGTCTAAGAATTTTTACAAAAGTAATACATGTTCAGTGTTGACTTAGAAAAATACAGAAAAATTATAAAGAATAAAAATAACAATGTAAAGAAAAAAAAACTACCACACTGTGCAGGAAAGAACTGTTAACATTGTGTTTCATATGGTGCTCTCCCCTTCAAGTAACCATGGTAAGCATTTTCTCACAGCATTAAATATGCTTTGAAAACACCCTGTTTAAAGACTGGACAACAGTCTTGGCTTCCAGCCCACCCTCCTGGTCTTCCTGAATCTCTGGCTACCCTTCTCAGTCTCCTTGGCTGGTACTTCTGCTTCTGCACAGGCAGGTGACTCAGGCCTCCAGCCAGGCTCCTTCTCATCCAGCTACACTATGCCTATGTGAGCTCAATCAGTCTCTTGGTTTTAAGGACCACTGATTTAAAAACCTGTATGTTTTCCTGGAGCTTCAAACTCCTATACCTACTGCCTTCTCAGCTTCTCTACTGACTGTCTCACAGACACCCCAGGTGTAGCTCATTCAGGATCAAACTCCTGACCTCCCTCCAGCAAATCCTCCTGGAGCCTCCCTATATCAGTAAATGGCAACTCCATCTTTCTATTTCTCAGGCCCAAAATTTGGGAGTTACCCTTGACTCCTTTCACTCTCTTACATCCCACAACCAATCGATCATCAAATCTTGAGAGTTCTGTCTCCCACCCATATGTGTCCAGAATTTGACTGCTTCTCAACACCTCTACAGCTACCACCCTGCCAGAGCTGTCTTCATCTCTCACTGGGATTGCTGCCCTGGCCTCCTAATCATTTTCCCCACTGCCACTCTTGCACTGTGATCCTCTGTTCTTCACACAGCAGCCAGAATGAGCAGGTGAATCTGATTGTGTCAGTCCTCTGCTCAAAACCTTCTCCTGGCCTCCCCGAAAGCCAAAGTCCCTACAGAACTCTGCGACACAGCCCTCATGTCCCCTTTCTTCCCAAGGCTCAGTCCATTCATTCCCTGGCCCCTTCCCACCTGGACAGTGCCAGGCAAGCTCCTGCTCCAGCGCCTCTGCGAGGCTGTGTGCTCTTCCTGAATTCTTCCCCACATGTCTGCCTGGCTCGCCCCCTTATTCAGTGAGGTCTTTCCTACTAACCGGTTTTAAAACTGCAGCCACCTTCACACTCCCTATCCTTCTCTGTGCTTTATTTTACTCAGTAGCATGTATTACCATCTGACATTCTATATGTAGAATTCTTTTTATTATTCTCTCTACTGGTACTGCGTCATCCTAGTCCAAGCCACCATTGAACTCCCAGCCCTGTCACTAGCCCTCCCCCTACCCTATCTGTTTGCAACTTGGCAGCCAGAGCAATGTTTTTAAATGTCAGCCAGATGGTGTCACTGATCTGCTCTCCCTCCACCCCACCACCGCCAGTGGCTGCTCACCTCTTACAGAATACAGCCATGATTCCTTGGGCCCTCAGGACCCCGCAGAGGTGGCCCCCCTCCTCTTCTGGTCTCATCCCCCTCCCTTTTGCCATGCTGTTTCACCTTTCTTGTTTCCACCTCAGGGCCTTTAGTTTTGCTGTTTCCCCTGCCTGGCACACTCTTCCCTTGATAACCACATGGCTGGCACCTTTCCTCCTTTGAGGGTTTTCTTCAAATATCACTTCCTTAATTAGGCCTTTTCTGTTTAAATTACAACCCATTGCCCTCCTCACTACTTAATTTTTCTCCATAGCACTTATCCCCATACAACATACAAAATATTTTAACAATGTATTTGTTCATTGTGTCTCCCCTCCCCCTACCAGAATATAAACTCCATGAGAGCAGTGATTTTTTGTCTGATTTGTTCCCTGCTGTATGCTCAGAATTTAGTGCACAGATATGCTCACTAAATACTTGCTGAATAAATAAGAATGTAGGCCCTAATATATATTTAATAGCTCATGTCAGTTCCCAACAACCTCATAAAGCAGGCTGTATTGTTATGCCCTCTCTACATGAAGAAACAGAGGCAAAAGGGTTAGGTAATTTGTCCAAAATCAGTTAGAAGTCCAGAAAAGGATTGGAACCCAGTAGTCAGGTCACACAGCCTAAATTCTATCTCAGACTGACATGGCCCCACTGAGTTCTCCATTCCACCCTCAAACTCTTCTTCCCCTGGTTTTCCCCATCCTGTTGGTACTATAATGACCCTGCTGTTCAAGCCCAAAAGCTACAAGTCACCCGTCTCCTCCCTTTCCTCTCCTTCAATATTCAATCCATCAGCAAGTCTTAGCAGCTCTTCCTTCAAAATATACCCATACCTGTCCATCTCTCCACTGCACTGTCCCTGTGCTCTCCCTACAGAACCACCATAGCCTCCAGATGCATTTCCACTCTTTTTTCCTGAATAACCCAATTTCTACATGGCCAGTGAGCTTTCTAAGCTCTAAATTAAAACCACACTAGTAGTCTCCTGTTTAAAACCTTCCAGTGCTTTCCTATCAACCTTGGAACAGCCAAGTCCTGCCTTCATCTGTCTGGCCCACAGACCTCTCCACCCTTGTCTCCCCCACATGCCCTGGCCCGCAGTCTCAGCCTCAGGGGCCGTCTGCTGCTCAGATTCACCAACCTTCCCCTTGGGACTTGCTTATCCTTCTGGAGGAACACTCTTCCTCCAGGTTGCAGGCCAGCCCTCTTCCGTTATTCATGTCTTAGCTCACAAGCCACTTCCTCCTGGCCATCAACCCAATTTGTTTTCCCGCCTCCCAGTCTCTTTAGTATCTCACCCTATTTTGTTTCATGTCCTCCCTAGCACTTAATGTTTAACATTTGCGGGCTTATTCATTTATTAAAGTCTGTCTCTTGCCTCTAAAACATGAGCTCCCTAAAAGTGAGACCTTACCTAAGACAAGGTGTATATTTTGTTCACACAACTGTCCCAGGTCCTAGAGCAGAACCTAGCACAGAACTACCCAAGAAATGTTTGCTACTTACTAATTTAAAAGCAACAATATGCAAAATGTGACTTTTAATTGCTCCTTGAATTTATGGGGCAAACTCCAGTGGTTGCACTATATTTTTAACAACAAATGAATGAATTCTGTCCCATAGATGTGACATAACTTATTTTATTAGTACCTCAGTCCTGGAAATTTAAGTCTTCCCAATGTTTTGCTATTACATGTTTTGCTGTAATAAACATCCTTGTACAAGCACACCAATCTTTGTACTTGTTTTTTGTTACTTCTTTAAGATAACACCCTTAGTTAATTATTGTGAGAATGATTAGATATAAGGGATTGAGAGTGTATAAGGCTGTTGATACACTTTTTCATATTAGTTTTCAGAATGATTGAGCAGTATCTCTTTTTAGTGAACACCTGGGAGAAAATGTGAGAGTTTAAGATTTCTAACAACTTTGTGACTTGTTTCCCATATGCTCATTTTACCCTGGTCCCCTGTATTAACTGGAGCTGGAAAGTACTTGAGATTCTCAAAAAGAAATAAACAGACAGCTGGGGAGGCAATGCTATTCTCCAAACAGCTGGAGACATTGAAACAAAAGTATGTTAAGCTCCTACTATGAGTTAAACTAAAACTGGGAGCTTTGTGGAGAACCTCTTTAATTCTCTGGAGGTGGACCTTTAGACTCCCTGTTGTCCCCACATGATCTGTTCTGGCCTTGGGCCTCTAGGTCCCCTCCCACTAGAATGTAAGCCCCATGTAGACAGGGACCTCATCTCTCTTTCCACTGAGTCACAGCCTGGGACACATAGTGGGCACTCAGTACATGGCTTTTGAATAGACGATGAACCAAATGGAGGGTGACAGGGAGTGTAGAAGATTTGGGAAGCAGCGGAGGATTGCGTTTTGGGGCCTCTGTGGGAAGAACACATGAAGGCTGACAGACCAGCTCTGGGAAAGAGAGAGATGGGCAGGGGAGCTGAGTACTACTGACCAGCAGGGCAGTCTCACTGGAACTGTACCACAGAAAACCACACTAGGGAAACCTATTTTATGCCTTTTTATATTTGCTTACATGAGGATTTACTTTCCATCATCCTTTTTTTTTTTTTAGTAAAGATGTGTTTTTAGTCTTGGTTCTGGAAATCCACCAGAGTTGCCCTCTTAGTTGGTGCCCCTGGGCAGTGCTGAAGCAGTCTCCAAGTCTTGGTGACCTGTTTTGGTTTCCTGGGGCACCGGGTACACAAAATTGGTCACAAACGAGGAGATGGATTCTTTGCATTAGTGGCTGAGGGTTCCCTCAGTGTAAAGAACCAGTAAACTCCTTAATTCCTTATGCCCCAAGATTTAAAGCTGGGAACCTAGTAGTGGTGTGGACAATGATAGCTTCAACTGAGGCCCAAGAGCAGGTCAGGGGACCATCCTAGGTATGAAGAACCAGGCTGGATATGAGGGTGCCTGAACCCCATGGGGGTGGGTTTGATTTGGTAAAGCCTGTGGCTAATGCTGGAAGCTCCTGCAGCCTCTTGGCCCAGGGAGCAAAGTCTGGACCTGAGAGCTCAAGTACCAACTCCTGCAGATGGTTTTCTAGGAGGACATTGAGTGGCTGGGCAAAGCAATGCAGACCCTGTGGACAGCAAGCTCTCCGCAAACAAGCATGGAAACAAAGTCCTGCCCTTTTGGTCTGAGTTCTTGGAAAATTCTGGGAGAGGTAAAGACACCAAAAGGAAGATTTATCTCCCTGATAATAAGCCAGGAGGAGCTAATGACAACTTTTAAAGCAAAAACTTACAAGATGTGATTTATAAATGTGTCTCAGATTTATGGATCAGACAAGTGGTTGTACTTTATTTTAAATAAAGTTAGTTTTTAAAATAATGGTTAGCTTCAGCTATTCTAAGGTCCACCCTGGAAAGAGATTTGTGTCCATAGTTGGGCCAGAATTTTACAGACTCGGAATGGTGGCTAATGGACCATTTCTTCATCCATTTAACAAATATTAAATGACATAGGCCAGCCAATGGACTAAGTGCCAGAACACAAGACAAACCTAGTTCCTGTACTGTGGAGACTCCAGTCTGAAAAAGAAACAGATTAACTGAATAAATGCACAAGACAAAGAAGAGGAAGTAACTCTGAAGTTTACAGTGAAGAAGGCCTGGGGGTTGTGGTTAGGAAAGTTTTACCTACATTGGTGACCCTGGAGGTTAGTTAGGCAGAGAGGGATGGGAGATCAGGCCAAGCAAAAGGAATAGCCTGTGCAAAGATCCTGTGGTAGAAGGGAGTCTAGAAGAGTAATAAACAAGACTAAAGGAAGGACAGTGTGACTAAAGAGGAAAGAGCAAAGGGCAGAATGGAGTTGGTGGAGCTGAGGGATGCAGGGCCAAGCCTTGTGGGGACTCAGAGGCTACATTAAGAATCTTGGTCTGCCCTGCAGCAGTGGGAAGCCTTTGAAAGATTTAAGGAATTGTAGATGACATTACCACATTATGTATTTTGAACAGATTACTTTGTCTGTGGTGTCAAGAATGGATTGGTGCAGGGCTGGAGTGGATGCAAAGACACAGATTGAGAGGCAGCTGGTAGTAGTTTATGCTAGAAATGGTAGATTGGGTGAGAGGGGTGGCCAGAGGCAGATTGGAAAACTTGAATAAATATCTAGGAGGTAATTCACAGGACTTGAGGCAGGATGGGATGTGGCTGGGAGGTAGAGAGGAGCAGTAAAGATAACCCCCAGCTTTTGGGATTGTGGAACAGGCCTGATTGTGGTGCCATCCACTGATACAGGGACTGATGTCCCTCACCAGAGATAAGACACTGCAAGGAGGGTGAGGCTCAGAGATACAGGGCCACACAGAGCCTTTGTATACTTCTCTTCTACCTGGAGGTTCTCCTTTGTGTGACTGGGAGGACTTTGGCTTTGGTTTGAATGAAACAGTTCCCTCACCCTGGGTTCTTCAAGTGTGGTCTCTCCACTATGTACAACAGAATCATCAGAGCTGTTAATTAATAATTCAGATTTCTGGGCCTCAGAATAGACCTCATGAATCAGAATCCCTGGAGCAATAGCCAAGAAAGCTGTATTTTAGCAAGCTCAGTCAGGGGTTGAGTCCTATCTATGCACAGCAGAGTAAGGACTGAAAGCGACAACCTTCCATTCTTCTTAGCTGTGCTTTTCCCCTGCTTTCCTTGCCTACACCCTTCTCAGGCCGGCAGTAGCCATGAGACCCCATGCCCAATGTTCTGAGTTCTTAAACTCACTGTTTTCTTAAACCTTTGAGTTTCAGAAGGCTTGCAAGACAAGGGGCTCCTAGCACAGGAAAAAGGAGCTGTTTGTATTAGTTCTAAACACATGAACAAGGTGCTGTATTAGGCGCCACTAACATATGTACAAGGAAGAAACAAGCCCTTCTCTCAAGGGGCTCTGACACAGTGGGGGTGACAGACAGGTGAGCATTCAAAATACAGTAAATGCATACACAGTACTTACTAGGCATCAGGCAGTGTTCCAAGTGCTTTATATTTACTAATTTATTTAATCCTTACAACAACCTTCCATGCCAGTGGTTGTAATAAGAGGATGTACAGGATGCTGACAGCCCCAAGAGAAGGATGAAGGTCTTCAGAGGTAAATATCAGATGAGTCACCAAAGATGAAAAATCAAGTCCAAGATGCAAGGACAGAGGGATCACTCAGTATGTGCAAGGCACAGAAATGTAAGACAACACAGCATAGTTGGAAAATGCAAACAGTTCGATGGGGCCTGACATACAGGTGCACGATAGGTACAAAATGGCAAGGAATGTGGATGAAGAGATATGGTTGGTCAGATCATTAAAAATCCTTTTGACATATTTCAGAGTTTGAACTTTCTTTTGAAAGGAGGAGGAAGTTTTCAGGTAGGGATGGTATGATCAGTTTTGCATTTTACAAAGATTCATGATGAAAGTAACAAAAAATAAATGAAAGAGGAGTTAGGCAAGTTCGAAGGTTCTATAGGATGTAGAACTGACTAGACTTGGTGATGGATTAGATTTGGAGAGGAGGAAGGACTGAGTTCAGGGTGGTAGTCTGGGTTTCTAACTCACGGTGAAGAGAGGTGCCATGCATAGACATACAGAGCCCAGGAAGAAGAGCAGAACTGAAAAGGGAAGATAACTTCCAGCTTTCAGTCTGACATATAAGGAGTTTGGAAGTCCTCCTCCTGTCCTCACAATAAGAAAAAAGATGAACAAACTGAAAACCAACAATCAACAACTCTTCTTACATCTATTGAAGAAATGATGTCACAGAGCAAACCACCATCCCCAAAACTGGAGAGAGAGGTAGACACACAGAATCACACCTCACCAAAACAGAAGCCCAGGACTAGAAACCTCTGTGGGAACCAGTAGCAGGGCAGGAAAACATAAACTATAATTGACAAATTGCTGGAGGCTCAGTGCAGACAAATTAGATAGTTTAAAACTCCAGGAAGACCCAGTCTTAGGGAACCCCTACACTTTTGTGCGTTTTATCTTCAGGAGCTCTACTAGGTTCTCACAGTAAAGATCACAAAGAAAAAAACAAATAAAAAAACCTTGTACTTTTGACAAGGAAAGGGGAAAAATAGCCACTCTGAAATACATCCAGAGCACTCTGTTCTTCTCAATAAGTTCTGCCCGTAGGAGAAAGTATTCTACCAGACCCTAACTAACTTGGGAGAAGGGAAATACCCAACTCCAGCCTACTTGTTTGTCTTCCCTATGAGTGGGAGAAGGATAGGACTGAGAAGTGCAAGTGAAGTTCATAAATCAGAGGCACAGGATCCGTAAAAGACTGAGACCTAGTCACCAGACTATATGATACTTTCCCTTTCCCCACACCTCACCACCACATCAGTAGAGCTCCTATATAACATGACTATAATAGAAAGACCTGCACACCTTATTTAAGAAGGCTCTAGGGAACCCCAGACAACAGGGGAGACAATAACACCAGAGGAAATTTTAGCTTCTGACACTTAAAGCTATAGCAAACACTGAAGACAGCCTAACCCCTAGCCAGTTAAACAGAAAACACTCAAGGCTTATTTACTTTGGTTGCTTTTACCCATTACATCCAACTCAATAAAAACTACAAGGTATACTAAAAGACAATACAAACAGAAACAAAAACACAGTTTGAAGAGACAGAGCAAGCATCAGAATCAGACTCAGATATGGCAGAGATACTGGAATTATGAGAATGGTAATTTAAAACAACTATGATCA